AACTCAAATACTACCAAAAATAGACTAAATATGTTTTGGGATATCTGCAAGCCTGTTCATGATTTATTGTTATTACATATTAGGCCAATGTTATTATAGATTACCCCTAAGTCTTATTAGAGATCAGAGAAGGCACGCTAGAGAGGTCTGGATTTCAGTCCAGTAAAGGTTGACTTCACTCTGCAGCCATTTAATCAGCAAGGTTTCTCCATCCAGCCGTAGGGTTTCACCAAGCTTGTTAGGACATAGTACGCTGAGAACTCATCTCCTCATCCCGAGAAAAATGAACCTGAGCAGCATGTCCAAAGGTTATTGCAGGGGCAAAAGGGACAGACAACGCATGATCAGATAAGTCCAACTTCCTTAGGAAGTCAGCTCAAATTCACAAGCACAGATTCTTCTCCCATAGAGGTGCAGATGGAAAACACCTAATCATCTGAACAAAGAACAAAGCAAAGGGTGAAGGTTAAGGGACACTGCTGGCCAAAAGAAAACTTTTGATCTCCTATGCTATTGTGCTGTGCAGAAGAAGGAAACAGCTCAGAGTCATTTACACACTCGTCTTTTAACCCATTCAAAAATTTTCTTGGTACTTACTACAACTGACCAATTAATATTGTGTGGAGGTGAAGGATGTATTTGTGTAAATCTGATACAGACACATATATCCTGATGTGCTTGAATTTGGTGACCTCATGGTCGACACACTTCCTTGAATTCTTGTGCTTTGCAACACAGCATGGAGTAAGCACAGTGAGCAAAAGCACACAAGTCTGATTACTTTGCATATATAAAAAATGTCTCTTATCATGACTGCGATGGCTACCCACTAAGCCTTTTCAGTATTTAATATAGATACAGAGCATAGAAACAAATGCACCCACATTTTTTTGCAGTATATAAACCAAGAATCCAATGAAAACACAGAAACCATTTCCCACTTCTCTTGTGCTTACTGCATTTTACTGACACAGAACTGAAATGAAACACAAATCAATTATTCCAAAGCACATTTCAGTTTTGGGAGGGGGTACTGTTAGCCTCCAGGTAGTTCTCAAGACAGTAAGTCTTCAGAGGAAAATGTCATTAGCCCACAGACTGCACTTTACTCCATATGAGGTTCAAGGGCCAGACCACATCACTCAGACTTTAAAAAGTGGACTGCAGGATAAAATTGTTGTTCCTTATCAGAGTCATGTTATCTGCATAATTCTGTCTGTGTCGGTTCTTTTCAGTTTATACATCCTTATGAACTAATAAAACATTAAATAAGTTGACCTGATTAATGAAAGAATTTATTTTCCTTAATCTGGCAATGTCCAAAAACTTATTTTGAACTACATGACCTTTAATCTTCTTTCCATCACAGGAAAAGCCTAATTAGTTTTATAAGAGAACACTGATAATTATTGAAGTAATTCCAAGTGCGGTTTTTTTAAAACAACTGGCAATGACCCAAGCGTTGGAATCCTTCATTGTTTACAATGAAACCTTTGGTATTCGAATTATTTTTAAGGTACAATGAACCAAATCCAAAGAAAGTCTGGCTCCACGTGTATGCACAGTGTATAAGAAGACTGAATGTTGAAATGCGGCTTTCACACCAAATTCTATGGAGAAAAAGGAGCAATAGTTATGTGATTTCCTTTTAGAGTGAGTGTAAAGAATGAGAGTCACTTATGAGAAATAAATTGATTTTTTTTACTAATCAAGGAAATGGGCAATTCCTGAAACTATAGATCTATATTTTCTGATAAAGTCCCATTGTAGTAATCTTTGTTGAGGCTTTAAAAGCTCTCATGCCTTGATGTATTTCCACTCTTAGTAAGTATCTGACATATCACACGACGACATACTGTAGCATGTTATAATGTGTAGACTACCCTTCCACTAGGGTGGGGAAAAGCTTTACTCTCTGCTCCACTCCCAAGTGGCCCTGAAGGCTGCCATTTCCCTTCCAAAGACAAAGAAGGAAGGTCTACAATATAGTATGACATTATCAGAACAAGCCTGCCCATGTGTAATTAGATAGCAGTTGAACTTCTTTATTTCTTTCACAGGCTGTTTTAGTTGTATCTTACTCCCCTTGAGGTTTTTCTCTTCTGAATATACATGCATATCCTCCTTTTAAAGTGTTAAAGTGTAGAAATTAATCCTAAGTACTCAGAATGCACACTTGCTCATGGTACCAGTACACCCTCATTCTCTTGCTGTTCACAGCCTTCACTAGAGCCGTGGACCCGAAAGTCAAGCAGGCACACTTAATCCAGCTGTGTGAAGCTAATATTACTCCTCCTCGTCCCCTCTGCTCCTCTCACACAGGATCTCTGCAGATCCCTGCAAAGGATTTATGGTGCACTTGTATATCTTCTAGCAGCACAGCTAGCAACCCAGTACCTCAATACAAACCAGCTCATACATTTTATCCTTTCTACCCCTCTAATATACTCAGATGGTGCTAAAAAAAACAGAATCTCATCTCAGTTCCAGTGTGCTCCTTGATGTTATCCCCTCTACAAATATGCAACACTTCTTTAACTGTACTGCCCTAATCAAAATAAATAATTTATTGCAATGCCAAAGGCACAAGATGTAGTTGTTTTACAATTAAATTAACACCTGACTGTCCATGTCAAATAAATCTGACTGATCATTCAGTTTAGGAAGAATATTGCTTAAAAACATAAAGTTAAAATTTTTGTTTTCAATTTCTGCTAAATTATTTCAAATAGGATTCAAACATACACTGAGATCTCTCAGTTCCACAAAAAAGAGATGCTAAAAACTTAAGTATATTCATAATATCTAAATGAAAAGTTTACATCTTGTCCGCTGGTGGAGTTTTTTTTATATTAGAAAGTTTCTCTAGTTTCCTCAAAGCTCTTCAGGTGTTTCATGGAGGGTCTCAGGATGGAAAATGCTGCTATAAAAGTACTCTGCTAGAGTAAATTCTGCACCATTAAAATAACGCTCAGCGAAAGACACAAAGCAACGGTGATATAAACATTTTAAAATAATATGCAAGAAGGCTAGGACGCATAATTTTTATTGCTGTAAAATAAATCAACATTTTTCTATAATTTCTTTTAGAACTTAGGAAAAGCAGTAATTCGAGTATCTGTGTATAACCCACCAGCAAATGCTGAGACAGCAGCATCTGTAAAGGTAATGATGCAGCACCTCATTTAAAATTGAAAGCAGCTCATACAAAATCGAGACTGCTACTAATAGAACATAGAGTGATTCAGTTCCACAAGTCTCTCCTGAGGTGATTCACACTTCAAATGAGAAAACAAAACAGAAATTTTCAAGGTCACATCTCACATCTTCACATTACTTTTACATGACCATCACTACAGCATCTGTAACTTGAATCTGCTCCTTCTCCCTCAATCCTCCCTTGAAAGTGAGATTCACCTCCTGAAGTTCTTTTTTTTTTAGCTTCTCTTCTGAAGGCTGACTCTAAAAAAGGGCTGAGGAGAGGAAAAAACAACCTTGGATTTTACACACACAAGTCATTCCAAGTTTTCTATCTTTGCTTAACAGGGTTCTTCCTTCCTGCTATTATTAGTAAATCTCACAGTTTACTTCTCTCAGCATTGAGCTGACAGATAATGTACAAAAGAAAAAGGATTTCCAACTTATTAGCTTCTGACACCAATAAATTCTGTGTACCTACACAGTGGAATGGAAAAATCTCTTCCTGTGAAAGGCTGCTCATCACATTTTTCATGCATTGTTGCTGATAAGTTTAACCTTTTTGTTTCACAACTCAGCAATGAAACAGCTATTGTTACCAAAGTGCTGAGCAAGTTCAACTGTGGGAATGAGAGACGTGCAGCAATTCTCAATGGTCTCTCTGGTGGCTGCAGACTGAGGAGCCCAGACCCGAGGGAGAGAACGTGGGTGCAAGAGGAACCCAAAGAGAGTGTCAGCTGGAGAACTAACCTTTTGGTTTAGTTACATGATTGACATGTTCTGCTTCAGTTTATTTTTAGTTTCTATTCCAGTAGGAACAGAATTTCCTAAGGAAAAATTCTGCTCTTGATGCATCTAAACACGCCCACCTAGATACGTAATACATGATGCACAAGGCCAGGCACATTCTTACAAGTTTACCTGTCTAAATCCAGAGACCGGGAAAAACCTTTAATGTAAATTTTATGTTATGAAACACCAACATCTTACTTTTTTCTCTCTTTTATGAAAAGCTCTTCTACAAAAGCTTGTGCCAATCTCACCATGAAGCAACTCATTAGAACTCACATAGCATTTTAAGAATAACATCACCTAAGATAACTTCAGAGTTCTATGATTTCCCATTTCTGCAACTTTCCATACTAAAGTGCTGTTCAGTAAATCTGTGCAAAGATCATATACGCAAAACATATTTAGGTGAAAATGCATATGCCTCAGGGACATAAGTATTTGACTTTATAACAATATATGCAGGATTTGTTTGTAAGTCATGGGAGAGGAGATTAAATAGATCAGAGGTACCTATATAGGTAATAGGAATGCAAGTGACAAGTATCTGTTTTTCCCAAATAAGAGAATTAAACAAAAAACAAACAAACAAACAAAACCCAAAAAACCACCAAAACCAAAACAAAGCAACTGACTATCATTAAAAATGGCAAAAATGTAACACACATTATTTCAAAAAAAGAGATAGACTGGGGACAATTATTAACAATACCTGTTAAATTGTTCTTTAACTGATCAGTTCATCAAATAGCTGGGTTTATATTGCAGCACCTCACTCATCCTAATTCTCAAGTCCCATGAAACGAGCAGCTAGACATCTCAGAGATCACCTGTGCCCTCTGATGAGAGGGTATTTCAAAGCCGTGGAGTGCTGCCCATGACTGACTTACTGCAGATTTATACAAGATAATAAGCCTAAGTAACCACATATACACACATATTGCTCTTGAATTTGCAAACACATAAGTACATGACTAATTCTAGCTTATGAATAAAGGCATGCATAAACTTACATTTGCACTGTTGGCAGGAGCCCAACTGTAGGAGCCTGTGACAGGCTTGGTCCTCAGTCTTCAGTTTGGGAGAGCTGAATAATGAACTGGACAGTCACATGAGATACCTGAAGTTAGAAGACTCACATAAGAATGCTACTCTACTCAGAAAAGATACGGAATTATAAATATACCTTCTGTGTTTGAATGTGTGGAGAGGAAAATTAAACTATTTTGCTGAAAGCCTGTTAGTGACCTAATTCTACGGACAGCTATTGTGATGCTGAGTGTTTGCTCCCATTTTTGTCTGCAGCAATCACTGCCCAAATTCCAACCCAGAGTTACCTACTGATTAGCAAGCATGCATACAGCAGGGCAAAAGGATAACAGATAAGAACCTAACGTTTTCAAGGATACATTCTTGACATATTAACACCAGCTACACCACTTATTAATTGAAATATGAGGAAGCAACCGAAAACATTCAATATTCAAACTATCAGTTATCACAGCTCAAGCAAAAATAAAAGTCCTCACAACTTATTCTGTATGGATAAGGTTACCTTACAAAAGCACTTGATCCAACAGCACAAGAGAAAAACTAAGTATTCATTAGCAGTGGAAGTAGTTTCATCCAGTACACAGTTGATTTATATACAGGATCAAATGATTACTTTGAGCAGTTTGGGTCTAAGAGATCATCTGTTGTCGCAAAGGCTAAAACAATGCAACCATTTAGTTCAGTGAGGTTACTTGGTCACAGTTCTCAATTACGTGCACAGAGAAAGGATTTAAACTTAATCCACCACATCAGACACCAGAGGAAGTGCCATGTAGCAGACCTCCTCTGAAAAGTGAACATTGTGAAATGTAAAACTAACTAAGTATTGGCAAAACTCTTCAAGGGAGGTGGGAACTGACTGACAAAAAATAAGACTGGATGCATTCCTAAAAAACTTCTAAATACGAGTTCACTACAAATATAGGGCTTCCCATATTAAAGCCTTTAGTTCACATTACACTAGTGTCAGACTAGAATAGTACAAATCGTGGAGACATCTCACATAAATATGCATCTTAATGGTGAAGAAATACAATATACAAGGGACAAACTGCAGATTTTGGGGTAAATTTAAAATAAGGGTCGCATGACACCTTGCTGGATTTACATTCAGAGTGATCCTGTCATTTGAAATAAGTAGCAACATATGGTCAAAAATACCTTCTTCCAAAAAATTTCCCATCATCTTGAAAAAAGAGGCAGGCCAGTCACATTTAATTTGGAGCAGAAGGCTGTTCTAAATTGGGAATTGTGACAATGCTGTTCTAGCAGATGAATTATGAGCTACGTGCTTTGAGACCTGTGCACTAAAAGACTTCCCACAGCCATGACCTTTGGAAGCATATGGAGCAGGGGGAAGAAGGGGAAAAGGAAGAGGAACAGGTAGACCCTAGGGAACAGATATTATTATCCTCGCAACCAGGAGAAACCCTATGAGGAGTAAAAGAGTTTGTTTGACATTTACATTCACCTCACACAGTACTTCAGTTCTTGTTGCACATAACTCAAGACAACGCTGAAGTCTACAATATAAATCACAATTTTGTTTTAGTTTTTTTCTTTCTCTCCTCCTCTCTTTTTTTTTTTCTGCCTAGAATTAAACTTTGAAAGCTTATCTCCTTGGTTTTAGCTCTAGACTAGCTGTAAAACCTCAGAGGTCAAACATGTCTTTTGCCGCAAGTGCTGAACTTGATCCAAAACATGAATTATTGTGAAAATTAGTTGTAATTGGAACACTTGTAACTTACATTCACCTTTGGACTTCAGAATCTGCAGAAGCTCCACCTATAATACTGACCACTATAATTTTCTTCTGAAGGTCATTTGATTTAAGAAGGTTTTTGGCCTGGCAATAATATTAAAACCAATTATTTAAGAAGGATATTTTGAAGCTCTGTCCTCACTGATTTTACAGTTAAGAGAGGCCATTAGATCACCCAGTTCAAGAAGTGCAAAACCATGATCTTCCATCCAAACAGAGTTACATCATACAATGAACAGCACTGCTGTCTTGGCACAAGAGCTTCTGGATGACCGTGCTAAATCCTGTTTGGAAGGGAGAAAGGGCTGCCAGGCTAAGGCAGATACCATCAAACAACCCCAAAAGGAAACTGCCTGCCCAGACCAGCCTCATGCTGAGCAGTCATGGCTTTTCTTCCACTTTTCCAAATTTCCCTCTCATCTGAATACTCTAAGGCATGTGAGATAAGCAACTCCCAATTATGCAAGTAATTTGAAATGCAGCTTATAAAGTTACAGAAAGCATGAATATCAGAGATGCTCAGACCACCCTGATAGACTGCAGTGTGGAGATGTCTTCACCCACAGCCTAAATGCTGTAGATGGGCTCAGCTTCACACTATTTGAAACCACCATGTTCAAATCTGGACTAGACACCTTTGCAGCAAGTGGCCAGGGTCACCATTTGCCTCCAAAAGAGCTTTTCCTGGGTTTCTGTGTTCAAAGTCCTTGAAATTAAAAGAAATAAGTTTTTAAAGCTTTAGGCTGAAATGTGTATCATGCCCAAGGGCTCGATGTGGGGGGCATTCAAGGGCATAAAGCCAGCTTCAACAGAGCTGGCTTGCTCTGCTCACCACCTTAGCCAAGCTTGCCATAGGCCATATCCACACCATCCAGAATAAGTGCTTAACTATGCTCTCTAGTCAACTGAGCTTGTATTTCCTCTTGGAGGGAAGTAACTGATTTATTCAGTGAGCAAAACTAGCTTAAATGGCTGGCTGTGGCCCAGAAGTATAACATGGACAGTTTCTGAGCCAGACTGACAGTGTAAACCACCTTCAGTCACCCCTGCTACTTGTACTTTTATTATACCTTTAAGCAACTTGTGCAATAATGAAAAATTATGCAAGCATAAGAAGCATTCCAGCATACTTTTCAGACAGTGTTTATCACCTAAAGAAAACACTCAAATACATTGTTTTATTTAAAATTCCATGATTATGCACTACAAACTATCAGGCAACCTTGAGATGAAACTATCAAGGTTCAGTCAATTATTACAAAGCTGTTATCAGTGCAGTTGTAGGTATAAAGCCAGCAAAAATGTATACCTCTAATTTTGGAATGTGTGTATATTCCAAAAGAAAGTACTCTTAACTGATGATCAAAATGCAGTAAGCTATATTGGCAGAGAACACTGGTGTAATGTTACTCATCAATATGGAACCATTCACCTTCTCCTCTGCCCTCCCCCCCACCCTCCAAAGAAAAACAAACCTAACAAAACCAAAAGAACTGTATCACTGAAAGTAGCTGCCTGGTGAGGAAAATGCTGTAACATAAAATCAGTCTCAAGGAAGTGCTACTTTATCTACTTAAGGATTAACACCAGGAGACCGAGGCTGGCTGAAAGGCTACACTTTTGATTTTGCAGGAAACTACCCCTGAATTGCTGGGTTTACAGGAGAGAAAGGCGACTCTGCTCTCTGACAACACATGGCCCAAAAGAGGGGGCAGCTGTTACTAACAGCAAGCTGACAACACAGGTGGTCCATCCTCTGCTGTGGGATGTGCTGAGGGTCTGATTTTTGGCAGGGTAGGAAGTGAAGCAGAAGGAGCAGGGAATTGCTACAGTGCTGTCCTTGTTTCCATGACACGTGCTTTTATAACTTGTGCTCCCTGAGGTAAAAGGCATAATTTGGACTCAACAGCTGACAACTCAGCAGTTCTCTGCCTGTGGGATAAGGGAAAGCTGGTTCTGTTGTAGCAACAGTTGACCCCACTCCAGTGCCAGCTTCAGACAGTGCACAGAAAGGAGGGCAGACATGTGCCCTTCAAAACCTTACACCCTGACCAACATTCATACCAATGGCTTAGGAGTTATTTTTAGTTTAAGCACTTTCTGCTCGCAGTGAAACCTGCCACTAGGAGTGATTCCAAGAGACAGCAGCAGGAAAAGGCAGACAGCAGCAAAGTGGCAAAAACCCCTGCTGAGAATTTCTGGTGCTTGCAGGAGTGCAAGGACCTCACAGATGCAGCGCAGGAGGGCTCCCACAGTCTGTAAATACAGACACTGCAAATTTTCCAGAGGAAGGAGGATAGCAATGACCAGCAAAAAACTGAAGGTACATAAGAAAAACAGATCCCAGATATTTTTCTCAGTGATCGATAAGAACCTCCAGACATCACTCATTCTAAAGCAATCTGTTAGCTTATAAGTCAGTAAGGAAGGAAGGCAAAGACACAGGGAAGGAATCTCTGTATTTTCTGTATCCTAGCTGCCCCTCAAGCCCTCAGAGGACAGGTAAGAAAATAGGACTGTTCATCTAGGAATTTATATGACCCTCATCATTGCCATGCTAATAATTTTGGAAGAAATTTATATGATTCTGGAAGATCAACCCTGGTGACATTTAAGCATCTATAAACCCCAAACTTTTGATGCTTCAACCAAAAGAAACTTTCAAAAATCCCACTTAACTTCAGCTAAGTACTGGAGAGAGGGAAAAAGAAAATAAAAGGAGAGGTGATGATAAATTTGGTAGGCATCAACATGCACAGATGCAATCTCATCTCTGACAGGGCCACACCACTTGCCTGATGCTTAGACACTCAAGATTCACAGAGAAATTACTCCCTACCTGTACCTGCTGATAAAAAGTGTACAGAACCACAGAATCAGGTTCTACACAAAAATGAGAAGCTTTTTGTATTAAGACATAGAAAAAGAAAGCAGCAGGAGTGTTCCCTTTTCTAAAGCAGTTGAGCCACTGCAGCACTCCCTGGGTATGGCAAACGCCTCTGACTACCTCCAGAGACTACTCAAAGTGACAGACAAGTCACAATGGAGACTTCTCTAGCCTGTCTGTCATTGACATTTCTCTCTGAGGCTTAAGTAACCACTGCCTCAGAGCAGGACTCCATGCCCTTCTGAGCAGGCACTCACTGGAAGCAAGGGACCATGGACTCTAGGTCCTGCTTCCAAAGATTATTTTGATCTTTTACAGTTTTATGGAACAAATTGCATCAAACAACTTTGGAGCACACAGCACAACCACCTCTTAAGTCCTGTCTAGAAGCAATTTATTTTTCTTATATTTAGAGAGAAATTTGATGCCTGGAAGCCAGAAAGTAGTCAAACTAAATCTCAGGGGAAGAGACATCAAAACATTAATAATTTCAACTAATTCTAGCTAGTTATGGTAACCAGAGTAAAACTACCTTTCATACCCATTCTTCATGTCTTCCTGCAAATAAATCAGTGTCTAACTCAGAGCAACAGTGTCCTCTCTCAAAGAGCCATCAGTATTCTGTTTGTGTTCTCAATCCTCCCACCTATTCAAGTATCTTTAAATCTCCTTCAGCAGACCTTTTCTTCTACTGTTAACGTTTCTTCATCTCTCTATTTCTCATCCTTTCCCTATTCCAACATGTCTGAATCTAAGATCCCAGAGTTTCAATTATTACTGCATCCTAGATCAGTATGTACTATTGAAAATGAAACAAAACTAATCTCGAGAAGTTTTCTGGTTTCTTTATTCTGATTTTCCTTCCATTGTCTGAAACTTGTCTTTCAACAGCTCAGATAAAAACATTGCAAGGTAATATATATTATCATTTAAAACTATATCAGATCATTTTTGCTTTCATCCAACAAATGTATCAACACAACAGGACTGCTGAATTTCCTCTGCATTTCTCTGAGCACTAGCACACAGCTTAAGTGGAAAAGAACCTCATTCACCTGGTCACATCACCTATTAAGTCATTTGCAGAAAAACGTAATCCATCTTCATCAGCCTTGTGATGCACTGCACTGTGCAAGACAGAGTTGGTATTTAGACACATCTAGGCTGATTAAGATTGCCAGTCTTCTGGAGGTTTCACCTTTCAGGTGGATTTCCTACCAACACATGAAGTTTAAATACATCTTCATAAGGCACAAAACCTGTCAGTCACCCACTGGATTAAACAATCCAACATTCATACTCTAAGAGAGCTGTTTCTAATACATTGAGAGACTCTGTTCTAGCAATCCCTATGGATATTTATAAATTCAGATATTTTTTGAACACTTACTAAAGCCCTGAGCTGCATGATATAATATAGATGTTAAAATAGACGTGACCTTATAGCCACAGATTTTAACTCAACAAGCACTTGAAAATTAAAGCCCTATGAATATCTGCTTAAATAATAGCAACAGCTTTGCCATCTGTGAAAAAGTTTTCCTCTCTTTCAGAAGAGCATCTTCACCCAAATGGCTGTTACCATATATTCCTTATTTGCCTTTGGCAACTCTCTGAGAATGCCCTCACCTAAAGGTTAAGTCTCCCCCTTTCCACAGCACACCTGTAAAGGGATTTTGCACAATCTTACTCATAGATAGTGCTTGCCATTGGTTGCTCTAGGTGACTAAAGCAGTGTGCTTGGGAAGTGCACAATGGAAACTGTTATCAGTTAATAATACTGATTAAAGTTTGAATAGGTGAAACAGCAATAAGATGAAAGGATGAAAAGACTTAGTAAACAGAAAATAAACAAAATAAGGTGACTCCCTAAAAGTTATACTCCAAACCAGCTCCAATCTAAAGATTTTTAAGCCTTCCATTTTTGGCTTTCTGCAACATTTTCCAGTTTAGATTATAGCCCTGCAGTCTACTGACATTAGACTCTCACTCCTTAGACCTCTCAGGACTAATCTGCAGTCCTGTCTCCAGCTAATGACCAGCAATTCACGCCGAGCAATATCAACCAACTGCAGATACAACTAGCGCTACTCATTCTGTGGGTCAACTCATGGCATTTGCTTCTGCCTCTTCCACATCCAAATCCTTTCCCTCATCAAACAAATAATTTTTGTTTTGATCTTGATTCACACTGTGGTCAAATCCAAGAGAATTCTATGTCTACGCTTACCTTTATCTACAGAGTTCAACAGAAATCAAAGTTTACCTTTATCACCAAAAGCATACAGCATACAATGGTTGATAAGCTAAGTACAACCACAGACTTTTTTCAGATCAAGGCATTCATGCATTCTTCCCTACAGGATGTACAAAGCTTTATATATAAAGCATGTGGGCACTGATGGATCTACATCAAGCAACACACAGTCTCAGTTGGCATTGCCACATGCTGATTTGAGAAGGAACACGGCATGACATAGACTTTAATCTTTCCCACAGCTACTAAACCTGCTAAGTCTGATTAACAGTCTGGATTCATGCTGTGGGGTTGAACTAAGAGTTTAAGAAGAATTTAAAGAATTCTACATTAAGGAGAAAAGGCAGAATGGACTGCCAGGTGAGATGTCAAAGGCAAGTCACACTGCCTTACTTAGGACAAGCTGGGTTTCAGAGACAGAAGAAATCTAAACCAACACCCATGCTTCTCTGAGGAGAATTTGCCAGGGTACGGACTTGATTATGGAATACGAATATTTGACTATTTTTGCAATGGTGAATTGAAGTGTGAAAGTCTGTAGAAAAGAATCAGAGTGACAATTCCTAAACAACAGCTCATGGTCCAAGTCTCCCCAGTATGAGACGATTATATTATCTATCCAGACCTTTACTCCCACTGATACCAAATTTCCTAGACACTTATCACTGACTATAATTAAAAAACCAACCATGCATATAACCAATTCCTACCAAAGCAAAACACAGCATGCCAGCACAATACGCCTCGTCTGAATATACTTACACACGTTGAATTTTAACAAGGGAATAACGTTCTTTGCAGAACTACCTCAGAGGCTCTGAGAGATCCGTTTTCAAACACGATCTCTGCACACATTAGAAATTCAATCACTCAAAACAGACACAGCAAGCTCTGTCTCCACTGCGTCGGAGTCCTTGCACAGCCAGTGCGCAGTGAGGCGCCCAGCATGTCTGGATGCTCCCCAAATGCAAAAGGGACTCTGGACAGCCCTCCCAAGGTCCCATGTTTCAAAAGGGTGCTGCTTATTCAAAGTAAAATAAAATAATACAAACCAAAATAATATAAAATAAAATAAAATCACAGCAAGAGGCATAAATAGTATTTACCCACCGCTCAGTCCTTGAACCAGCCAACCTGCCGGTCAGCAGAATGAGCTGTTGACAAAACACAGCCTCTATTTAAGTCGCAGGCTCCGGGCAGCGGCGGAGAGGAGCTGCCGGTCTCCTCCGGCGCCCCCGGGGGAGGCTCCACCTCGCTCCGCGCCGGCACCGGCTCCGGCTCCGACCCCGCCGCCACCACCTGTCCCGAGCCCCGGCGGAGCCCCGAGCCGCAGGACCGCAGCAAGGCGAGCTGAGGGTCTCCGAAAATCCCCGCCGCCAGCCCCCCCCTCCGCCCCTCCCGGCCGGTACCTCCCCGGGGCGGGCAGAGGGAGGGAGGGATGGAGGAACATCCATCACTGCGCCCCTCGGGCCGCCCCCTCCCAGGTGTGAGCGGGTCCCGGCACTCACCCGCCGCCGCCTCGCCGTGCCCTGTGGCGGTCGCATTCCGCGGGTGCGGGGGCTGTGCGCGCTCCCGGCGGCCCCAGCTCCGGCGGGCAGCAGTGCGCAGCGCCGACAGGAAGGAGGGATGCAGCCGCCGAGGGAGGGAAGGAGAGGGAGGGAGGGAGGGAGAGAGAGAGATGGAGGAGCGGGGCTGGCGGTCTGCCCGCGGGCGGAGCCTGCACCGCGCACCGCCCGCCGCCGCCCCCGGCCCTGCCCCGGGCACCCCCGGCTCCCTCCGCCCGGCCCGGCCCGGCCCGGCCCGGCCCTGCCGCTACTGCAGCCCCGGTGCTGCTGGGCCGGAGCTGCAGGGCCCCCGTTAGTCATGTCGGTGTGGTGGGGACTGAGCTGCTGGGGACACTCGGTGGCGTGGCTGGGTCCCTGGCGGGCTGTGGCGAGTGCCCTGCGCGGGAGGGTGAAGTCACGGACCTGATCTGAGCCTTTAAAGTTCTCTCTGTTACGCGGTCAAATATTCTTCTTCGAAAAGTACCTTGAATGCCTCCAGCGCTGCCAGCCCTCCAGGGTTTGACGCAGTGGGCCTAGCCCTCCAGACCTAGGCAATTCTTGACTCATTTTATTTTTGTATTTGCCTCTAGTTTTTGAGGTCTGGGACTTGACATCCAGCATTTCATGGAAGCCACAACAGTTGCATGCCAGCCTCTCTTTTAAATTAAATTTGAAATCTTCACAATCCCACAGTCTCAAGAGTCTGGCAATTAAAAAAAATATGCCATGAGACCCATAAAATCAGAAGAGTTGGCAAGCTTGTGGCTCTTCTCTTGTGCCCTAGTCAGCCACAGGAGAATGGGGAGAAAAAGTGACTGCTGGGTTTTCCTTGCATTTTTCTGCCTAGGTTTTCCTGCTGTGGTTTTCCAAGTTGCTGCAGATTGTTTGTTTCAGAACGCAGATGATAGGGAACTGCCCTGTATGAAAGTCCTGGGCCAGACTTGGGTCCTGTCTTGGCTGTAGATGTAGTAGATGATTTCAGGTCCCCAAATCCAGATTCTCCTGCCATCCTGCACATAGCTTTCCTGGTCTAAGTGAATACAGGTTGTGTTGTAGAGAAGAAATCTGCCCCCGTTTCTTCCCCTTTCTAGTGTTTTTGCTTGTGCAAACAGAATTGCATCTTATGAACCTTGTGGTTGGGTCATGCATCAAGATATGACTTCAGATCTGTTCTGGCTCAAGGACATGTCTGACTTCAGGTCTTGAACCCTGAGACTTGTCTATGGTTTGGCCTGTGTCAAGTGAAGAAGGATTGAGACTCCTTATACACATATCATTCTTGGATTTTTTTAAACATGATTTGAGGAAAAGCCCTGGGCTGTGAATCCCAAGCACAACGTGGTGTCTTCTCTTGATACACATGGAAACACTCTTAACTCCAAGGATGGACAGACTTTAAGAGAAGACTCCTATTAGGGGTATTCTATTTAGTAGGTTTAAGCAGTTGCCTTTCCAGCACATCAGTCAGCCTCTCACAATGCCAAGTCTCTCAGCAATGAAAAGGTCTGCTGGATGGGTAATTCTGTGGTCTAGACTTCACTCCAGGCACAGAGGTTTGATATGCAGCCTTCCTAAGAAAATGTTTCCATTTAGTTCCCATTCAAGCCCAGAAGGCCTCCTACCCTATTTCCATGCAACAGCAGCCAAATCACAATGAAACTGGGAATACCCATGGCATCATAAAGCTTGGGGAGAAGGTGGACATTTCATTGTACACCCTTGTCCAAGAGAGGACTGCCTCTGTCTTTCTCCATTTCCAGGTCTCTTTAACTGAAGCCTGGTGCCTTTCCTAGACTCTGCATCCATTTCTTTTCTGCAGCTCCTGTTACCTCAACTTTAGCAAAGGCTCACAGGCATTGTACTTATTAGAAAGCCCTGTACCATGTATATGGTACCATCAGTAGTTCTGGAAGATTTGGAAAATTTTCTAGATTACAAAACCAAGCATTTTTACTATTTTTCTCTTTTAAATAGTGAGGTAGCTTCCCTCTGATTTACAGACATTCCATACAGGAACTGTGGGTATTTGCATTTTTTTTTAAGCAGGAAAATTTGATTGTGAAATTAGAAGCTGCCAGGAGAAATCAGAGGTAGGGGTAGTTCCTGATGTTAATTAAGGTTTTGATATTGTATTGATGACTCAATTTTTAATGACTCAGTTGGAAGTTAAGAAACATTTTAAATCTCATATTAAATAAAACAAGTCTATATAGCACAGGTTTCAAGGTGAGAAAACTACAGGTGGTTGGTATCAGTTATCTCTTTTTTATACAGTGAAATATGCTAATTTTAATATAAATATCCCCTAGACTAGGCAAAAGACTGGCCTAGTTACCCCACTACTTCTGATCTGCATGAAGTATGCTATCCTTGCATCCAATCTAATCATGACACCTTCTTCATAAAATATCACAGCTGCTCTATTTTATTATGAAGTTTATCTGCACATAGGATATATATGCAGGCCATTTATTTTGCTTTGTGCCTTATCCAAATTTTCCAGAAAACTGAAGGACAGATCCTATAATGCACAACTGTGTCTTTATATACTCAGTGTAGGACCTTGTTGTTGATGTCAACAGCAGCAGGGCTGCGTCTTTCAACATTGATATTTTGGACAGTGAAGGAGGAAGGTTTAAATCTCTACTGAGAGTAGGCTAGGTTTAGTTTATCTTAGTCGATCTCTGGGCTTACTATTACTTAGAGAACAACAGATCTGCTGTCTAGGTCAGAAAAAGGTTCTTGAGGCATGTAAATTCCAAATGAAAGTGAGAAGCCCAGCTAGGACATTTTCATTAATGAGAGTTTCCTGGAGCCATTTAGTCTTGTATTTAAGGGTGTGTTGGTTATTTATGGCAGGGAAAAGGAACGGCTGTGTTGATGTTCTGGAACTTTTCCTTTGTGCATTGTTTCCCATTTCACAGTTGTATTTGGCACCCACTTTCCTCCAGCCAATAAAGAATATTAAAGAACTTCCTTTGCTGAGAAGTTGTGTGAACATTTTACAAACCATACAGTTTAACTAGAAGTGTGAAAGGTAGTACTTCTACACCATTTACAAAAGCCAGAGATTGCAAATATATAATAGTGCAAAGGTCTGCCAGTGGTTGATTTTGTGGACTATCTATTCCTGTTTTCTTAGGAAAAAAAAAAAGGATTATATAATAGAACCGACAAAGCAAATTTTGGTCTCGCTGAATGTGTTCAGGAAAGCCAATAACAAAACTCACATTGGCTGTGATAAATGCAGGAGTAACCTCTGTTCATGCCAAGAATAACCTTGAGTACTGTGGATAGTACATGTATTTTGGTACACTCACAAAACAACAGTTCTTTCCTATAAAGTCTCAGTGGAAGCATCCCTGTGTTGTCAAGTTGGTGCAGAGCTTTTCTTGGAAATGACATTGCTGACTCCAGACAAATAAACCCTTGGTAATTAATATTTTTCAAATACAGAGAATTTTCTTCATCATTAGGGACCTATGCTGGTGAACTCGGGGATATGTTGGCAATATATTGCTAAAGGGCTTCAAAAACTTCCCCAGTCTCCCTCGTCTGAGGGAAAACCATGCTGTCTATTGTGGTTTTTGCATTTGCAGGCAGAAGCAGGGAAGGACTTTGATCTACTGACCTGAACTAACTTTGATAGTGCCATGAATTTAAAAAGAAATGGAAAGAAAAACACTACTTGCCAAAACCAATTAAATTTAAGTCACTTGCAGTCCTTCCACTGCGAAAAAAAAGTACCTCAGATGCCTGGGAAATGCATGGTGTTGAAATACTAGATTCACTACCACTAATAAGACCCTTATGGTCAGCAGTGAAGGTAAAGGTTCTCCCAGGCAGAACAGAGATAATAGGTGGATTGCATTGCCACATGTTGCCAAGTGTTAAGATATCTGTGTCTTATGAGGGTCATTTGTGTATAAAACAGAGGACAAGGGCTACCAACTGTTAAGTCTTCATAAAATGCATTGGGTCTGTCTTGACTGGCAACAACAAACAATTTGTTTGAAGAGGCCTTTTATATGTTCCTGAAACAAGTAGTTGTTACATAATGATTTTGCCTCAGACCTTTCCTTGCCTTACAGTACCTTTGGAAAAATTTCTACCTGTTTCCTTTTTTCCTTATTTTCACATCTTTATAGCTACTGTTTGTCTTCCTCTTGGGAAGATGTTATCTGAGCCCCTGTTATCAGAGAGGGTTTTGGAGGGGTGACGAGTTGCCTATGCTATGGTTATTTAGAGCAAGGGAACTGAGCTTTTGGTCTTGTCTTGTGATCTTGATGTAAACAGCACACTCTTCACCATTCCTTGATTTGACTGCAGTGGTTCATGCTCATCATGTCCATTAATGCTCATTCTTTCCACCCTTGCTCTAGTGTGGCTTCTGATGCTCCCACAAGCAGGCATTTCCATTTGTATTTCATTCAGATGAGTCTTAATAATACCTCAGTTACAAATGCTTACAGTAGCTAAACTGAACTAATGCCTGAGATGGGACTTGCTGCTGAAGATCCCCTGCTAAAACAATCTACATGTTGTAAACTGATTAACAGCTGCAGGTCCATTTTTCAATCTAGGCACTTGTGCCATCCCACAGGTGATTATACTGACAGTGTAAAGGGCAACACATGCTTAATCATCATGTTGGATGCATCACATTGCTGAGTCTTATACAGTAGCATGAGAGGTCAGTCTTTGAGACAGCGAAATAAGATACAGAATAGTTCTTGGAAAGAAATGAAGCTAAATACACATTTCTGAAGAAACACCAACAAATGGTAACAATCCTGCTGATTGTGGAAGAGTTAGTGGAATCAGTCCTAGAACTAAGTCTGACTCATGGATATGAAACTGAAAAGGCTTACTTTGTACAGTAGTGGAAGGGCCAAATTGCATCACAAAAAAGAGAATTTACAAGAGTCAGAAACTAATTTGGTTTTGTAATAGCCACAAAAGCATGGAAATCTGAAAGTAAAAGATACTGAGAATATCTCGGGCATTCATATGCTCGTAATATTGCAAGGCCCTTTATTGGCTCCCTGGCATCAGTGTATCACATGCAAACACACT